GAGTAATGAACTTTAAATCACTCTGGATGAACAAATCAACAATATAATTGAAATGTGATGAAATATTAATTTTGATCCTTTGGAATACCCATCTTGTTATCTCAGCATTTGTGTTATGCTCGTGATGTTTTTTTTTAGGTTTCCTGGGCCACAAACTCTAATTTTAGGCTGAGCTGTGAGATTAGTTTTGAGATTCTATCATGTTGAGACACATTTCGCTTTTTTCTATCATGTTGAGACACATTTCACTTTTTTCTGTCAGCAGTAGTCTCATTCTGGGCTGGCCTGGTTTGCTTGATTACCTTAAACTCCCTGCTCAGAGCTAAGCTCCATATATATGGGGGCTTCTATGGCATTGTGCTTGAAGTGCTTAACTGCAGGTCAGAAGTTTGATCGTTCAAGCCTAAGCTGCAATGTATTTGTTGCACCCTCAGGCAAGGCTCTGAACCCCACATTGGCTCCTGCTTTGTCTAAATAACTGTAAATGTGTTTAGATAAAGGTGTCAGCTATCAGTGTTTATCTTTGAGAGCTGCTCCTTAACCCTGGAGACTGCTCTTATGTTAAGGTTAAACTCCTTTGACTTTTGACCTGGGAAAATTGCTCAGGAAAGCATGTTGAAGAAGTGCAGTCCATTGCCTATACATTATATTGTCATCAAGAGCTGATGATTTCAAAGAGAGGAAAAAAAAACATGTTTTTCTGAACCTGCAGTATTGAATCCATGAATTGTAATACACATTCTATTGATAATCAGATTCAATGCTTTGAGAGTAAATATTTCCAGGTTCGTAAAGCCTACAATTACACAGCTGACTGTTGAATGTCTTATGGTGTGAGATCACAAATATAAGATTGGAATGTTAACTAAATTTTCTAATACCAATGCAACAATCACTGTCGGTTATTAAAAGTTCTAGAACAAATAACCATTCAAAAAGAGACCTACTCTGAAAAGGGTAATGAGATCAAACCCAAACTCTCTCTTCACTTAAGCTGCAGTATGGCACTATATTTGTGTATCGGGCAGTCTATAGCCGACATCATATACCAACCTCAGCTCCTCAAATCAACCAGATATAACCTTATCTATGTACTCCTTCTATTTAAAGCACTTATGGTGACAATAATGTATGAAAATGTGCTACCCAAAAACAGATTATTATTATTATTATTATTATTGCCGTTGTTATCAGTGTGAAGTTCTACTCTCAGTCCTTTGTCCGCACTCAGTGTTTGAGCTGGGAATTCAGCCCCTGTCGATGGCCTCTTAAACCAGAACACCATTCCACACTCGGGCAAAACCACACCTGACAGTTCCTACCCTGGGATTGATAGGACACTGTTTATTTACTAATTTCCCATAATCTTGTGCGTGCTCACATTTCTCTGTCAGCTGTTCTCCATCAGAGTGGGAATGTAACATCCAGATTTACAGTACACAGAATTTTGCTGGTCATGTGGGTTTGGTTGACGTCTTCAGCCAGCTAGCAAAGCTGATTGAAGACATCAGCTAACTGCCCTGCTGGGTGGATGAAATGCATGACAGGACCCCCTGACACCCGAATTACCCCCGTCCCCCCATGTGTGCGGCTCGTGTATATTTTTCACTTGCTTTCAGAAAACAGAAAACTGATTCAGGATGAATAAACGAAGTCAAAAAGGCAATAATAATACTGAGGACTAAGCTGTGCTGTGAACAGCTAGAGCTCATATTGACATCAGTCTTGAGCTTCAGTATTCTTCTTCTGTGGTGTTGAAATAAACCGCATCCTTGCAGTGACATTAACATCTGTAACCAGAGCAGGCTAATCAGGAGGAATGTCAGGGCTAGGTGACTCACCTTTGACCTCTGCGAGCCCTCTGAGTTATCCTGCTCCAATCCGTTTCCGCGACAGAAGTTCCTGACCCAGAGAATCCACACGATCGCTGACAGAATCCACATGGCGGCAGAATCGAATCAGTGGAGTCCCCTGGCCCGTGGAGCCATCTCTGTGTGGGACGCTGGGTTTGGGTCAGGGCTGCTGTTGGAGCATCTGATAGCCGTCTCTCACAAAGGAATCGCTCTGTTCCCTTCGATCAGGAACGTCCCGTACAAACATCTCATGTTCCTCTGCTCTGTAACCCCGGCCTACGCCCCTCCACCCCAACTCCTCTGAACCTCCACTTGTGACAGGAACCAGTGTTTCCCACAGTCTGTCTCTGCACCACTGTGCGGCGAGCGGCTCCCTCCCTCGCTGGGAAGCAGAGGAGTGTTCTCTCCTGGTGAGATCAGGGCAAGAGATGTTGTGCAGCAAGGACAACTCTCTCTCTCTCTCTCTCTCTCTCTTCTTCACTCCATCTGTCTCTCGCTCTCTCTGTTCCCTCTCTCTCTCTCTCCCTCCCCAGCTCTTCTCTTTTCTATACAACACCCTTATCCTTCCTGTAGCCTTCCTTTCTTTTATTTCCCGAATCAACTTTTCCAGTCCGCCTCCTCTCTCTCTCTCTCTCTCTCTCTCCCTCCCTCCCTCATTTTGCCTCTGTCTTTTCAGAAGCAGGATGGTTTATTGGTTTTTTATGGGAAGGGCTTTCCTGCTGCTGTTCTGTGTTTGTAAGTGTGTGTGTGTGTGTGTGTCTGTGTAAGCGTGTGTGTGTGTCTATGTTTATGTTTGGGTTAGGTGTGTAAGCGAGTGTGTGCGTGCATGCGTGTGTGTGTGTGTGTGTGTGTGTGTTTATGCATGTGTTCAGGTGTGTATGTGTGTGTGTGTGTAGGAATGGTGTGGGAGAGAGTCTTTAATCTAATCCTGTTCAAAATCTCCCACTTTTTCCGTGAAACATGCTGGGGCCTCTCGCTCCTCCCGCCTCAGCCGGTCTTATCTCACCTGCCACCTGACCCCCCTCTCGCCCCCCCATCTCCCCCGCCATCTCCCCCGCCCGCCGCACTGCCTCCCTGGGTGGTCGACGAGAGAGAGGAAATGTCCCAGGCCAACATCAGCCTCAAACGTAGGGAAAACAACACTCTTCATTTCCGATCTCCGTGAAACATTTGCTTTTAAGTCCAACCGGTTAAAGTATTTCTCCTCACCCCACGGGTCAAGAACAGAACCTGCTCACGGGACTGCATAAAGTATCCAGCAGCTTCTGTCAGTTTGTCTCTTTTACTGAAACATGACACTGCTTTTCTAATCCCAGTACCGATATTGAAATGTTTCAGGTGCTCTAAATGGTCTGAGGCCTCATGTCACGAGTGACTGTGCTTGAAACCTTCTTCACTGAGCACCCTGAGGTCGACTTGAGGATTGGTGCTGGACGGTGAGAGGACAAGAGTTTGAGAAAATATAGAATTTTAAAATGTGATCGCTTTTCAGAGGGAGTACGAGCGCCATGTGAAAGCCAGTACCGCTTCCCTATTATGGCTCCATACCCCATTTTTCTGGATATTTTAGCTGCTTTTTCTGATAGCTGAGCATCATTCCCAGATGTACCAAGCACTCTTTTTTTGTGTCCAGTTAAGTTTGCTATTTCTCTTGTCTTTGGGCACAGGTGACAGTATCCTGCGCTGGAATTTGCTTCCTGCATAAAATGTCTATTTTTGCAAGTGCCTAAATATGAGAGTTCAGTGTTTATTTGCATGTTTTAAGCTTCAGAGTACTTGTCAAGTAAAATTTTTTTTAACCCATTTGAAAATTTTGAAATTATTCAAAGTATCTCACCTCATTGGCAGGTTTTTGGTCAAACTGGTGAAAAAGGTAAAGTAAATATAATTGAAGGTTTATTTGATTTAAAATCTTAATATAAGATTTTGACTTATTCTTTGGTTTTTGTAGTGCTGGGGCTTTATTTATAAAAATTTGCGTGGATTTCATGCCTAAATAATACGTACGGACAAAAAAAAAAAAAATGACATTTCGTGGAAAATAACCTAATTTATAAACCTATGGGTAAAATAAACTGCATGGAATTTTCATTTATTTAATCAGGATGGACTTGCAATTTATTGACATTGTGCATAATCTTAATAATTTCCCTTTTTTTAATGTCAAGTTTGTTTTCATAAATCAGAAATCTGCAAAGAAAGTGACGTACATATCTTTTTTGTGCCTCACACTGTTTATAAATGAGGCCTCTGGTCTCTGGTTAACTTCAGCATCAGTGATAAGGGATCCGAAGCTCTGAATAACATTAGTTCTTCTTCATGCCAGAATCGTCTGCCGATCCCCAAACCCAAAAGCTGGCAGACTCATAACTCACCAGTTCTGCAAAAATCAAAATGCCAGTTGGACCACAATTATTTTTGCCTAATATATTAAGACAAAAAAAAAAAAAAAAAAAAAATCCTATTTCTGTTAATTTTCTGGTCAGTAAAAAAAACAAGCCAAAATTTGTCAATGGTGCTAGAATATGATGCTTCTCAAATGCTTAGTTACTTAAAATGAAATTAGCAACTACAGAAAGAGAGAGAAAAAAAATATTTTAGATATTTTTACGCCTCATAATTTGACCACATTTTTACAGCAGATATATTTTGCTGAGAGAACCTGAGTTTGACACTGCCAGTCCAAAGGCAGAATTCTGCTCGGGCTCCTGGCCAGGGCGGTAATGACTGTAATTTTGGGTGAAGTGCAGTTTTAATACCCCCTGAGCTGAGTGCTCTGGGTTGGTGCTCTTCCAAATGTGAAAATAGTCCTCACACAAAAACATTCCATTCATGAATCACCCTCTCTAAGGACACCATCTCTGCAGTTAATTACGTTTAATGTAATAAGAGCGCCAGTAATTATTGATTCCTCGGCTAAATTTAATTACGTCTCAGGGACAATTCAGAATTATGTGAGGGAAATTAGAATTTGACTTGGTTTTTAAGACTAATGGTGTCACGGGGAGCTGCAGGACCCAAATGCAACACAATCTGAGCGAGTGAATATTTACAGACCTTTAATGACTTAAAAGCAGAATGCACTGCAGAACAGGATCTAGGGCTTGTGGATCTTGAGTAGAGCTCTTCTGGTAACTTGGGGGAGCAGGCGCCAACGGCGGGATTTAAACCCGGGTCGCCCACACAGCAGGCAGGAGTGCTACCACTGGGCCACCGGAGCAGGCTGGCTTGAGACTTGGCAGACGGGGTCGTATCCACACAGGTAGGCAGTGGAGCGGCAAGACGGGTGGCTTGGACAGGGGCTTGGAGGACGACAAACAGGAGCCAGGAAGCACACAGGCAGAGCTCAGAGTCAGAGGCAGAAGGCAATCAGGTTTATCGGGGCAGGAGCGGGAGGACGTCGTCAGAGGCAGGTAGAGTCTTTTCCAGCAAGTCAGGCCAAAGACAAAGGCTGGAGAGTAATGCATGCTGCAACGACAATCTGGCAGTGAGTTATTGAAACAGAGCTGCTTAAATACTGGCTGGGTAACGAGACTCAGCTGAGAGTAATAGCAGTGGGAGGGGTGTGGCCAGCCAGAGGAAGGGGTGTGGCCAGGCAGAGGGAGAGACTGCAGCAGCAGAGCAGACTGTGACAGAACCCCCCCCCCTCAAGGGACGGCTCCCAACGTCCCTCAAGGAAGGGCCACCAAGGCCGGACGGGCGGAGGGGGCCAGAGGGCAGGGCCTAATACTGTTCTGAGCCAGACCAGTCCATCTCCTCAGCTGGATCGTCAGGGGGGCCTGAGTGGTCAGAGTCCGTGTCGGTCGATGGCTCCTCAGCAGGAGAATCCCCCACAGGGAGATCAGGGGAGCGTTTCTCGAAATCACAGATGCTAACATACATAGTTGAGCCCCATTGACTGTGAATGGACAAACTATGTAAGTTGCAAACTTAGTTAGCAACTACGCTTTTGGGAAAAACGCGCCCCAGGTCGGGAAGAGGTGCGGGCCAGCGGGCGGGGGTTCCTCGAAGGCACGGTGGTGCCAGAGGGCTGGTCAAGATGGCGACGGTGGAGGTCGGTGATGAGGCGAGCAGGAACCCAAGACCTCTCTGAACCCCATGGGGTAATTTGTCCTCTGCATTTGACCCATCCTATAGTTAGGAGCAGTGGGCAGCCACAGAGCAGCACCCGGGGACCAACTCCAGTTCTAAAGCCAGTACCTTGGTCAGGGGTACTGGCAGGAGTGTTCCTGTAATGCATGTTTTTGTGGGGAAACCGGAGTACCTGGAGGAAACCCACGCGAACACGGGGAGAACATGCAAACTCCACACAGACCGGATCCGAACCCACAACCTTCTTGCTATGAGGCAGTAGTGCTAAGCACTGTGCCACCGTGGCCAGAGGACTATCATGGACCGGCTTCACCTTGGACACATGGAAGGTGGGGTGGACACGCATGGAGCGAGGAAGCTTGAGTCTCATCTCTGTTGGACTGATGACCCTGTGGATGGGGAATGGGCCGAGGGAGCTTCTTAGACTCCACCTGGAGAGGCAGATCTTGGGTGGAGAGCCACACCTTCTGGCCTACCTGGTAGACTGGGGCAGGAGAACGCCGCCGATTGGCCGAGGCGGTGTAGCGCCTAATGGCGCGCTGGAGGGCAGAGCGAGCCTGGGCCCAGGTTCGGTGACAGCGGCGGACTAGGGCTAGGGCTGACAGGCAGGAGGAGGAAAAGTGGAGGCTGATAGCCGTAGACGCACTGGAATGGAGAGAGGCCCGTGGCGGAGCTGGTGAGGGAATTGTGGGCATACTCCACCCACAGGAGCTGCTTGGACCAGGAGGATGGGTTCTGGGACACCATGCAGTGGAGGACAGTCTCCATCTTCTGGTTCATCCGCTCCGTCTGCCCATTAGACTGGGGGTGGAATCCAGAAGAGAGACTGGCGGTGGCTCCCATCAGGCTACAGAACTCTTTCCAGAAGCCTGAGGAGCACTGAGGACCCCGGTCAGACACCACATCCACGGGGAGGCCATGCAGACGGAAGATGTGTAGCAGGACTAGTTGTGCAGTCTCCTTAGCTGACGGCAGCTTTGGCAGAGGAACGAAGTGAGCCATCTGGCTGAAGTGGTCGACCACCGTGAGGATGACAGTGTTACCGTCAGAAGGTGGAAGACCCGTGACAAAGTCCAAGGAGATGTAGGACCAAGGTTGATGTGGGACAGGAAGGGGTTGGAGGAGTCCAGTAGGGGCCTGATGGGAAGCCATGTACTGGTTGCAGGGCTTAACAGTCACGGGTGTCTTCCTCCAGGGTGGGCCACCAGAAGTGTTGTAGGAGGACGTCTCGGGTTTGCTGGGTTCGCCAGGATGGCAGGTGAGCTTGGAGGCGTGGGCCAACTGAAGAACCTCCGACCTCAGGGCTTCAGGGACGTACAGACAGTTGGTGGGACAGGTGCAGGGACCAGGTTGACCCTCAGTGGCAGCCCTAACTCTCTCCTCAATGTCCCAGGACAGGAAGGCTACAACACAAGGGGAGGGGAGGATGGAAGCAGGCCCCTCAGCGGAATCTTCACCCTTCAAGAACTGCCGGGACAGGGCATCGGGCTTGGCGTTGCGGGACCCCGGGCGGTAGGAGAGAGTGAAGTTGAAGCGGGTGAAGAAGAGGGACCAGTGGGCCTGGCGGGAGTTCAGCCTCTTGGCAGTGCGGATGTACTCAAGGTTCTTGTAGTCGGTCCATACTAGGAAGGTTTCCTTGGTGCCCTCCAACCAATGCCGCCACTCCTCCACAGCCAGCTTCACCGCCAACAGCTCCCTGTTCCCGATGCCATAGTTCCTCTCGGCAGAGGACAGGCACCGAGAGAAGAAGGCGCAGGGGGAAGCAATCAGGTTTACTGGGGCAGGAACGAGAGGATGTTGTCAGAGGCAGGCAGAGTCGATTCCAGGAAGTCAGACCTGAAGACAAAGGCTGGAGAGTAGTGCATGCTGCAACTGTCATGGTTCTGGCTGTATGTGTTAGGGACTTTCTCTGTGGCTCTTGTTCTGGGACGACATCGGATTTCTTTTTCCATCGGATTCCTTTCCCAGCTGTTTCATCAGGCGTGGGCGGCGCCTTCCCCTAAGGCTATATAAGCCGGATGCCCGCCACGCCTCCTTTGCTGGAGTGTCTGTTTTAGTTTTCGCTATAGCGGGGCGTTCGGTGTGGAAGCGCAAGAGCTGTTCGTTTATATTTCTCCCTGTGGGCATGTTAAGTCTGTGCTAATTCTGTGTTCTCGTAGCCGCTGCTATTGGCCTCCCGTTCCTTCGGCCATTACAGCAACGACAATCTGGCAGTGAGTTAGTGAAACAGAGCTGCTTAAATACTCGCTGAGTAACGAGACTCAGCTGAGAGGAATAGCAGTGGGAGGGGTGTGGCCAGGCAGTGGGAGGGGTGTGGCCAGGCAGTGGGAGAGGCAGCAGGGTAGACTGTGACAAATGGATTGTACAGTAAATGTGAATGTGTTTGTGTTTATTTATTTTTTTAATTTTTTGTGCTATTCAACTGCAGTCAGCCAACTCATTCTACTCAGTTGTTTAGCAAGGCCACAATGTGACATTTTTTGTTTTAAACAAAAGTTGACCATTCATTTTTCAAACAATAATATTTGCTATTGACAATAGTACGAATTCAGAGCAGTGTTTATATGTGCAGAAGTAGTTGTAAATTGGACCAAAACAATAATTACATTTTATGGATATTTTTAGTTTTTTATGCTGAGATATTTTACCCAGCAATACTGTATAAATACATTTAGTTTTATATTGGATAATGAATATGTTCACTGGGTGCTGTACTGTATAAAGACAAAGGACGCATATTTTTTCATGTTGACCTCAGTAGGATTTGACTGTTCTGTATCTGAAATACATGTAAGGACTGTATAAATGTACTGAGGAGAGAATGAATATACACCTGTTCTGTGCTGAGGAGGAATGTAACTCAGTAAGGAGGTGCTGTACTGTATAAATACATAAGGACTGTTCTGTATCTGTGGATGAATGTACACCTCAGTGCTGAGGAGGTGCTGTGTACTGTATAAATACATAAGGACTGCTCTGTATCTGAGGAGAGAATGAATGTACACCTCAGTGCTGAGGAGGTGCTGAACTGTATAAATACATAAGAACTGTTCTGTGTCTGAGGAGAGAATGAATGTACACCTCAGTGCTGAGGAGGTGCTGTACTGTATAAATACATAAGGACTGTTCTGTATCTGAGGAGAGAATGAATGTACACCTCAGTGCTGAGGAGGTGCTGTACTGTATAAATACATAAGGACTGTTCTGTATCTGAGGAGAGAATGAATGTACACCTCAGTGCTGAGGAGGTGCTGTACTGTATAAATACATAAAATACATAAGGACTGTTCTGTATCTGAGGAGAGAATGAATGTACACCTCAGTGCTGAGGAGGTATAAATACATAAGGACTGCTGTACTGTATAAATACAGTAAGGACTGTGTCTGTATCTGAGGAGAGAATGAATGTACACCTCAGTGCTGAGGAGGTGCTGTACTGTATAAATACATAAGGACTGCTCTGTATAAATACATAAGGACTGCTCTGTATCTGAGGAGAGAATGAATGTACACCTCAGTGCTGAGGAGGTGCTGTACTGTATAAATACATAAGGACTGCTCTGTATCTGAGGAGAGAATGAATGTACACCTCAGTGCTGAGGAGGTGCTGTACTGTATAAATACATAAGGACTGTTCTGTATCTGAGGAGAGAATGAATGTACACCTCAGTGCTGAGGAGGTGCTGTACTGTATAAATACATAAGGACTGTTCTGTATCTGAGGAGAGAATGAATGTACACCTCAGTGCTGAGGAGGTGCTGTACTGTATAAATACATAAGGACTGCTCTGTATCTGAGGAGAGAATGAATGTACACCTCAGTGCTGAGGAGGTGCTGTACTGTATAAATACATAAGGACTGTTCTGTATCTGAGGAGAGAATGAATGTACACCTCAGTGCTGAGGAGGTGCTGTACTGTATAAATACATAAGGACTGCTCTGTATCTGAGGAGAGAATGAATGTACACCTCAGTGCTGAGGAGGTGCTGTACTGTATAAATACATAAGGACTGCTCTGTATCTGAGGAGAGAATGAATGTACACCTCAGTGCTGAGGAGGTGCTGTACTGTATAAATACATAAGGACTGTTCTGTATCTGAGGAGAGAATGAATGTACACCTCAGTG